ATTCATATATATATTATATATTTTATACATATAATAATAATAATCCTTGCATTTGATATAGCGCTTTTCACGTCGGGAGGACGTCCCAAAGCGCTTCACACTGTAAAGTTAATTGACTGTATTTTTTGTGGGCGAACGCGGCAGCCAATTGCGCACAGCAATATCCCACAAACAGTCGTAGATTGAAAATGACCAATTTATTATTGTTTTTGGTTTTTTAGAGGGATTATTATTAGGCGTGTGGAGTAAGGAAACTTGCCCAAGGTTTCGCCCTCTGCCTGGAATTGAACTCAGGTCTCTCGCTTGCAAAGCGAGTGCTCTAACCACTGAGCTACAGGACTCCACAAATTGGAACCCTAGTTCCTCTAGTCTTCTATGTATAATATATAATATATGTATTATATATAGAGAGAGGGGGAGAACACCGATGGTCCAATTACTGACATCTGGGGCCATCACTATTTACAGTCTGCAAAACATCAAGATCCTCCCACTTCCTCCCTCAGCATTCTAAGATGAATGCTCTCATGCCTGAGATAGTTCCACTTTGAATTCTTGAACTTTATTAGTCCACACAAAGTCCCACTTCATTTTCTATAGTTATCCCTTCCAATTGCTTCACCTCCTTTTCTACCCATATGTTCCCAATCACCCTTCTGTAAAATCTTTTGAGCAAGTTGATCATCTCTGAGGAGGTTCCAACAGACTGGAAGCAACCAAATATGGTTCCTATATTCAAGAAGGTCACAGAGTCAAACTTGCCAATTTTTAGATCAATTTGCTTGACCTCAATAATTGATAAACTGACGGATTCAATTATCGTAAGCAACATGAAAGATTACTTCCATGAGAATAACAGCACAATTTCAGAAGGTGATGATTTTATCTGACCAACCTCATAGACTCATTTGAATTTCCTCACGTCCCAATTTAACTATGGGAAACCACCGTGATATAGTGTACCTAGACTTCCAAGAGCCCTTGATCACACAAGAGATTCCTCTACGAACTGATTATTGTGAATAATAAATTAAAAAGAAGGAAACAGACTAGTTAGGGGAGTTCTGTCAAAATATGAGAAGTAGTGACGGGTGTGTTGAAGTCAGTCCTGGGACTCCTCCTGTTCCTTGCAGACTCCATGCTTGGTAGTTAATTTGTAAATGACATCAAGATAGGCAGAACTGTAAAATGAGGAAGCAGCCAAGAGCTTACAAAAGAAAGCTTGACAAATTATGCACCTGGACTGATCGCTGGCAATTTGAGTTCAGTGCAGTTAAATGCCAGATGCTACATATAGGAATTAAAACTAAGCACACATTTACTTTATAGACAGGATAGAATTGACATGGGGGGATACTCTGTGGTCAAAAGTTTGAAACCACCTGAGGCAGCAATAAGAATGGCAAATAGGATACCGTGTTTTATTGCCAAATCAGTTTAGATAATAGCCCCAGAAGTCATGTTCAAGCTATACAGTTCTCTGGTTTGGCAGAGTGAGAATACTGCATACAGTTCTGGTTGTCATAACATACGCTGGTGTCCATGCCTCGGAGGCAGTGCAGAATAGAGCAATGAGGATGATCTCAGTGCTAGATGGATGAGCTATGAGCAATAATTAAATACTAAATAGAGTTTGCCAGTTTTGAAGAAATGTTTCAGAGATAAGGTAGAAAAAATACACTTGGAACAATACTTTCAGAATGGCCATAATACCAATGTGAAGAGCAAATTCAGAATTATTATTATTGTTATTAATTGATACCAGCAAGTATTTTTGGTCATAGATGATAATTAGCATTTGTAAGAAGGATGGCAGTCTGAATGATAGACATTTAAGAAGCAGCTTGCTGTTGTATTGGGAGGATGATGTGGTGGGTATTTGTCTAAGGATGAGTTCAAATGAGCTCAAGGGCTTTCGTCATAAGTACCTCAACTGTGATCTTGTGATTTCAACTGTTGTAGTGGTGGGAAATTCCACCCAATTTTATTTCTGGGTGGGTACGTTTTCTGATGTCAAACTGATATCAATTATCAGCAATTGGTAATATACAGTGGTTAGACATCCATGCTAAGCCAAATGTTTACTTTAATTTCACTCTGTAGTGATTTCACATATTTGGCCCATATTATTTTGTGTGGTTTGTTTAAACTCTACAGAACACTACGGTAAGTTCAAACAAAGCCTTAAAGCTTTGCTCCAGTCTGCATGGATTTAGGAATTAAATTTGGCTTTGAAGCACTGCCATTTTCACAGTGCAAGTGCACATGACAAATGCGGTCTTATTGCACAATCTGGCAGCGGTTGCTGAAATCTATTGCTCCTTCAAACTTTTGAAGCTTCAAAACCTGTCTCCTTTATTTTGCTATACAATGCTTCTATTCATTTAGAAAATCTTGCCAAATGAAGCTCTTTTGGACTCTGTACTTGTGTGCATGTGTCTGGTCATGGTTTAATACTTGCTTGGCATCCTTATAATTCAAACTTCTTTTGTCAAGAATCAAAAACTAAACATTTAAATAATACAACTTTGATTTAGGATTGATACAAACAGATTGATAGAATGAGATACTCAACATGCTGAATTAATTTGAAACTTATTCTGTTAAAACACTGCAATTCACTCTTGAACTATATTTTATTCAGGCATTTTGAAGTTTGGTTAGTTATTAATTGGATTTATTGCACTTGTTTCTCAGGTTTGTAAACAAAATACTTTTTACAACCATTTTACAACTTGTGTAATCCTTTTGTATTATTTTTTAAAAACCGGAATAGAAACATTTTATGAGTCCAATATGTATACTGTGTTGGGATTATGTACTTTTCCAGGAAGAGGATTATTCAGAGATGAAACTCTTAGTGTCCAGGTGTTGTTTTGGAGGTGTAAATTGAAAAAAGACAGTAGTACTATGAAGACTGGGTACAAGCAAACTCACTAACAGCTAAATTGCAGCAAGTGTGGGATTGCTTGGAGGAGCATGTTCAATGCAGAGAAAACTGGGTTTTATTTGTAATTAAATACCTGAAGGATATGGAGCTGTTTCTAGCCATTAACTGTAAGTAAATTGTTGCTGTTCTCTGAGATCACAGTTTTTGAGAAATGTTTTTGTTGTAATTCAACAAATATGCTTGTGAGATTGTTTCAACAGGCATAGGCTTTTCTCTTTTTTCCTGCCCTTTGCAGCTGAATGTTTTTTTTTGACCAAAGTATTTTTTTTATTAGATGAAGATCATCTTGCATTCATTGATTGCAGTTTCCAGATGGAAAATATTTAATCAATATTAAAGTCAGCCAATTTATACATTATTTTTAAGTATTAAAGAATCTTATGATCTTAAATATATATGAAATATAACAAAACTTATAACAAAAGTAGGTATGCACAAGTCTGTCAGTTTTGGGGTTAAAACCCCAAACAGCTGCATTTTGAATTCTGTTTATTATTTTTCTACAACTGAAATGTAGCCAACAGCACATGGAATTATTTTTGAGGAGATGACATCTTTAATTGGAGGTACTGGGTATACCTTCTTATCACTCCCTTGGTTGTTGTAAAAAATCCTCTCCCTTCCCTCCTACCCCCATTGCAGTCTCTTTTGAACAGCCATACTTAGTCAAATGATCTCACCTGGATAGCCTGTATCAGTTTGACTCAGTTGATAGCACTCTCGCCTCTGGGTTAAAGCTCCTCATCCGAACATGAGACTATAGGTCATGCTGACACACCAGTGCAGTACTGGAAGGTCATTGTATTGTTCAAGCTGCTGTCTTTTGGTCGCCTGGCTCCAGCCTCCTATTTGACCTTCATCCCCACTGCTCCACCATTGGTGAACGTGCCTTCAGCCACGAGGCCCCGAATCGTTGAAACTCTCTTCCTCAATCCCCCTACCTTGTCTCCTCTTTCCCCACCTTCAAATCCCACCTAAAGACCTTCCTTTTTTTTCGTGCTTACGTTACCATCCCCCTTCCTCTCCCCCTACCTCTATGGCAAACTCTCTCAATCCCTCCGCCTTGCCCCCTCTCTCCCCTTTTTCAAATTTTGACTTAAAACCTTCCTTTTTGACCGTGCTTATGGTCACCTTCCCCCAGCTCGGAGTCAGGCTCCGCCATTGTTAAGCGCTCTGGGATGCAGCCCTGTGTGGAGGGCGCTATATAAGTGCAAGTTGTTGTTGTTGCCCAACATTTCACCGTGCTGGGAATCGAACCCAGACTGTCGCTTGCAAGGGGAGTGTTCTTAACTACTGAGCTACAGGACTCCTTTCCACTCTCTCCCTGGAGGGACGCATCCTGTTTACCTAATACCGAGAAGTTTTAGTCGAGGGTTTGGCCAGAGCCAAGGCTTGGGGACCCCAGAGTGTGTGTTGGGGTAATAACTGCAGGAGTCTAACCAGCTAAAACTGCATCGCTTGCCATTGATATTGCTGCCTGGCAAGCTTTCCCCCTGCTTGTATATTTCTTCATTTTTAGTTTTTATCAGTAAATTGAAAAATGTAGATTGGTGGAAAAATGTAGATTAGTGGTAAAATGTACCTGTCAATAACACCAATCAACTCCACAAAATTTGCCAAATTTCCCCACAACTTTTGTCAAATGTATTGGCCCTGCTCATCACATCGTTGAGATGTCTAAAACCACTTTGCAGGATATACTGTAAAGTGGATTGACTGTTTTTTCTGTAATTTATGCTTCCAAATTCTTACTCATCTTTGATACAGTTTTTGATTAGATGATAAAGTATTCCTTTATTTTGTAGAAGAGTTCAAGAGGAGGAGGTGCTTTCTTTCACACAAAAATATTGATGTTCAAGGGGCACAATTTATTGTTAAAACTTATTGAGTATTCATTGCATGAATACTGTTTATGTATTATTATTTAACAGGGTGTTATGGGTAAATGTTTGAACATGTTTTGAAGATTATGAGTAAAAAATGATTTGAGAGGTTCATGTGACTTCTTTAAATAGATAGTGATGTGTTCAATGTTGAATGTATCTTCTAGATACAACAAGAGCGACCAGAGCGAATGCCTGATTTGAAAGCATTAGTAGATAAAAGGTTTAGTGACCTGAAAAATGGAAACAGAAAAGCGGATCTACTCACAAATGACACATATATAGACTTTAAACAGCAGCTGGATGCGCTAAAAAGGCAAGGTAAGTGCTTGTGTTGTTTAAAACCCTTTTATCTTAGTTTGATGTTTAAAATTACATGAAACTAGTATAATCATGTATAATAGTTTAAAAGAGGTACGTGCTATTGTTAAATTCATTACATATAAAAAGAAACGATACAGGAAGTGTATCTTCAAAAGGAGTTGAGCGAAATGGTCTCCTTCTGGACTGTAGTTTTGATTTCTATGTTTCTAAAGGGGAGTTTCTCACAGTGTCCTGGCCAACAATCCTCCAGATAAAAATTGGTCATTCATTTATAATATTAATCGTTTGATTTGATATAGTGCCTTTCTCATTGGAAGATCGTGTCAAAGTGCATTACAGGATTTATTGTAAAGTGTAGTGACTGTGTATTTTGTAGGCAAACACAGGATCCAATTTGTGAACAGCAGTATCCCACAAACAATGAAACATTGGCTGTTTGTGGGACGTTGTGGTGCATCTATTGGTTGCTGCATTCACTTACAAATACATATTCACTATACAATAATTTGTGAAATGTTTTGAGATGTTATCAATGTTATAGATAAAGGTTGTATATCAATGTTATATCAAATACAAGTATTATTTTGACTCTTTTACAGGTATAATAATATTCTATGCTGTAAGATTGCCATTTATTAAGCCTCGTTTTCTAAACTCTTAACCACCAGAAGCTCTGCTGGTCCTGGCCTCTACCCATGAAAATCAATCAATTAGTTTGGGCAATAATAATGATTGACTGTCTTGCATTTCTTTCTTGCTTGAGTGCTGAGAGAAAGTAAGAATAGAAGGAAATCTAAGGAGTTGTGGTAACTGAGCAATAGATGGCGCAAAACTATTGTGCCCCTTATTTTGCTGATATCATTTGTGCAATCAACAAAGCAAGTACGATTTCTTACCTCAAAAAACTAATTTGACGCTATGGAAACTTGGAATGTATACACTGGAAGAATGAGTTCCCAGGGGAGATTCTATTGAAATTTTCATGCTTAGGGGTCGACAAACTGAATCCAAAAATAAATTGCACCTAAATAATATGTTTGACATATCAAAAACTTTACAAAAAAGTGGAACAGGCTCAAGCTCAGAAGAGGGAAGTGTACAAAGAGTTTAGATTTAATTGCAGTAGAGCAGGGTTCATCTTTACACCAGTGTCCCTTTAATTGCACAGGCCTCCTATTTGTAAGTTGGCCGGGGGTTGATGAGATACTGGCAAAAATAAAGTTGTGAGCAATTGTAGGGATACTGGATTAGTTATCAATGGTGTCTTAAGTCCTAGATACTGGCAACAAAAAACGGTTATGTGCATGGTGTGAGATTGCCAGCTCAGCCTCAATATTGCATGAGTCCAATAAATACAAAAATCAAATGCACAACTTTGCATTTGATAATGATTTTTTAATGTTTGATTTTTTTAAAATCTTGAATTTTTAGTTCAGGATTAGAGATGGAAAATGAGAGAAAGTTAGGAAGACTCTCACTTTATCTTTTTCTCTCCATCTCCTTATTCTTTCTGTGTGTTTCTGGGGACAGTGAAAAAAAAGGTGGCAGAAAAAGGAGGGCTCGCACAGTGATATGCTCAGAGTAATAGTACAACTCCCAATGAAATCATTTTTAGCATTGAATTGAATTCAATTTGTACTCCTGTAGCATTGAATTCAATTTGTACTCCTGTGTTCAATTATCCACACTGTTTGCTTCTCTGCAATGGGGCCAGGTTTCAATCAGTATAGATAATCAGCTCTCTAATGTACTTTATATAATAGGTATTGAAGCTGATCCCCAAAATTAATTTAAGGAGTTCACAAAAGTCCCCCCATCCACGAATGGAATAACAGTTAAAAAACCACCTGAGCTGTACCCACAAATTTTAAAAAATTTTGGGCTAACGGTAAATGTATCTTATTAAACAGCATTGCCATCTACTGATTTACGGCATTACTTTAAGCTGAAGTCAAATTACTGTATTTATTAGATTAGTAGTTATTAAAATTGTACTGCATAATTTACTAAATTTTGTGATTTGGGACGTGAGACCAAGACAGTATTTTGAGTCTGTGACTCGGCTTCCTTGTGCCACCTCATTCTCAGTCTTCTGTTGACGACTCCATCCTCCTTGATGGCCTCTCCTCTCTTTTCCACCTGTGTAGGTCCATGCCTTCCTGGTTCAAATCCTACCTGCCCCATGACCTCCACTTTGAAACCACCAATTTCTCCTCCTTCATCCCCCATAATATCACCTGCAGTACACCTTAGGGCTCTGTCCTCGGCTTTCTCCTTGTGATCTACATGCTGTGTGACAGATCATCAAGTCCATGTTCGACTGATCGCCTGTCAGACATCAAGTGCTGGACTGTCTTTAAAAGCCTCCTAAAACATACCTCTTTGTTTTATCCCCGCCCTGCTTGGAAGCTGGTACTGTCTCCATAAAATGTTTCAAGATGCTCTCTTCTGTGAAAGTAGTTATATAAATGCAAATTATTGTCATTGTTATGTTGCATCTAGGGTTCCCCTAGTTGTGAATTTCTCTGACTTGGTTTTAGGATCTGATGAAATGATGCTGAGCAACAGGCAATAGCGTTCCTTTTGTTCCAAGGGTTTTGATCTATCTCACACAGGAATTATAAAATAAGAAACATGTTCTAATGTTGCTTCACATGATGGAACAGTTCCGTTGTTTGAATTCTCCATTTCAAATGGTAGTCTTGGCATTATTACAGATAAGTCAGGTCAAAAGTTATTTTTAAACAAGAAATGCTTCAAATACTTTTAAAAGAAATATTTAAGCAAGGTTTGGATATCTTGTAACAATTAGTGATTTTAATTGAAGCCTATAGCCCCTTTGAAACAAATCAAACTTCTAATGGTGGAATTTTTATTTAAAATTAATTTTCCAGGTTATTGAACATTTACTTTTCTAGGTCAATATAACATTGCTGTGAGCCTTTCTCAGAAAAACACAAATTGTGAAATTCTTTATAAATCATGATTCAGTTGGCCCACTGGTGAATGATGATGAAATGTTTGGATTTACATTGTCATTTCATTTTCTCAGTATGAACCAGGTTTTGGTTTACTATTTCAAAGTACAACTAACCCGGCCACATTTATGTTCTTTGTATAATTGTCTACAATTTTTCCCTTCTTCCTCTGAAGTTATTGAGTTGTTATAACCTCTCGGTTATCACTTTGAAGTGATAACTTTGGTATTACTTTGAGTGCAAAATTATGTTAAGAGGCTTTATGTGTGGGGGATTTTTTTCAGGTAGGAAAAGTACGAGTTTCAACTACAGCAAAATCAAAAGTTGTCAAAATATTCAGTGTGCCCTCTCTTTAATGGGACAGCTGTTGTATAAGGGTGTGAGAGATATAATCAATAAAATAATATTAATAGTTATTTTTGAGCATAGAAGGGCCTTTCCATATCATTTACTTTGGGAGCCATTCAATGCCATAATTAATGGACAGGGAGCGGCGCCAGGACAGCGCGGGGAGGAGCCTGGGCCTACCTCTCAGGTATTTAAGCTCGACGCGGCAGGGAGTGCAGCCAGACGGGGGCGGGGTGTGGGGCTGAGGAGGGAATGGGTGGGGGCGGAGCGGGGGAACCGTTGGCGTCGTAGTTGTAGTTTTCAGAAGTGTGCGCGCACAACAAAAAATAAATAAATAAATAAAGCCTCTGCGCCCCCCCCCCCCCCCCCAGGGCTCACATCAGAGCCCACCATGGTGCTGTTAGTTTGGCTGCCCCAGCCTATGGGATAATGTTTCCATCCACTTGACCGCTCGCTCCCGGTCCCCGCGTGCGCAATATGGCTGCCGATATGACCCGAGGCCCCTCAACACCTCCCTCCCTCCTCCCTCCTCTCTACCCCCAAACTCTCCCCGTTCTGCATCTATCCCGCTCTCTCCTCCTCTCTCTCCGTTTCTCTCGCCTTCTATCCCCACTTGACACTACCACAACCTCCCTTTGCTCCAGGCTGGGAATCCTCCGCCGGGCTCACCGTGGCACTCGGCGTTGGCTGTCCAGCAACTGCCACACCGACTGCCCCATTCCCCACTACACTCGCCAGCCACCCCGGACACAGACCCGGGGAGTCAACCTCTCCTCCTTCATCCCCATTTCCCCCACCCCTGCTTCACAACCTGGACCCCCCCTCCCCTCCCACACACCCTTCTGTCAACCGCTCCCTCCACATCGGACTACAAAACGTCGCTCCCTCTGTAACAAGGCCCTGGTCATCAACGATCTCATCCTTGATGAGACGTTGTATCATGGCCTTAACGGAAACCTGGCTCACCCCAGGCGACACCTTCCCCCTCACGGAGGCCACACCACCCGGCTACACCTCCCACCACATCCCTCGCCCCAACCGCCGTGGCGGTGGTGTTGCCCTTATCTCAAGGACACCACTTGCCCTATCCCCCTACTCCTCTGGCTCTTTCCCCTCTTTTGAGCACCTCACCCTCTCCCACCCCTCCTTCCTCTCACTTAAAATCCTCCTCCTCTACCGGCCCCCTAAAACCTCTCCCACCTTTATCTCTGATATTTCAACACTTCTCACATCTCTCTGCCTCTGCTCTGATCGCCTCATCATCCTGGGCGACTTTAACCTGCACTTCACCCCCTCCTGCTCAATCTCCTCAGATTTCTCTTCCCTGCTCTCCTCGCTCAACTTCTCCCTCCACATCAACTCCCCCACTCACAGTCACGGCCACCCACTCGACTTGGTGATCACCCGGGGCCTCAGTGTCTCGGATGTCACTATCACCGACAAGGCCGTCTCCGACCACCACTTCATCTCCTTCACCACCTTCACCCCCCTCCCCACCTCCACCAGACCCACCACCATCTTCTACCGCTGAACGCACCTGGGTCAAATCTGGCCTAATGGTCCACCGACAAATCTGGCTGGACCTCCTCAAAATCTACCGCTCCACTCTAGCCTCGGCCAAATCGTCCTTCTACTCCAGGATAATCCTGGAGGCGAAGGACAACCCCAGGC